AAACTGTGGTCCCAGCTCTCTTCATGTCATTGACCAGCTCCTCCCTTGTAGTTCTAGGCTGATTCCTCACCTTTCTTATCATCAGTGATACCCCACGAGGTGATATCTTGCATGGAGTCCCAGTCCGAGGGAGACTGACAGTCATCTTTAGCCTCTTCCATTTTTTAACAATTGCTCCAACAGTTGATCTATTTTCACCAAGCTGCTTGGCAATTGCCCTTTCCAGCCTTGTGGAGGTCCACAATTTTGTCTCTGGTGTCTTTTGACAGCTCTTTGGTCTTGCCCATGGTAGTAGTTGGCATTTGACTAACTGTGGGGTGGACAGGTGTCTTTAAAGAGGTCAGACAGGTGCTACTAAGTTAGATTAATGAATGGAGTAGAGGTGGACTTTTTAAAGGCACAGTAACAGGTCTTTGAGAGCCAGAATTCTTGCTATTTCTTAGGTGTTCAAATACTTATGTTCAGCAGTGCAAGACAAATAAATTCTTTAAAAATCATACAATGTGATTTCCTGAATTTTTTTTTTCAATTCTGTCTCTCAGAGTGGGAATGCACCTACAATGTGAATTTCAGACCCCTCCATGATTTCTAAGTGGGAGAACTTGCAAAATCGCAGGGTGTTCAAATACTTCTGTTCCTCACTGTATGTAAGGAGCTGTGAGCTATGGAGCTTTGATCCAACCTTCCTGCTGTCTGCAGTTATAGCATCACCCTGCTGTTATAATTCCTTGTAGCCTGGGTTCACACCAATGTGGTGCAGGAAACGCTGTGAATCCTGTGCATTTCCTGCACCGCATTGCAATTGCATCACATTCATGCGATGTGGTGCAGGTGTCAATAATAAATGAATGACATCCTGAAACAGATTGCAAAACACAAAGCAATTGCCGGAAATTGCATCACATGGGTGTTCTCATTCAGGTACAGATTTAAATAAGAGTTCTGCACCTTTTTGGTGTATGGCTCAAATTGCACAGCACAGACATTTGCATGTAATTCTTGGGTGAATTACATGCGGTGTCCGGCACCGCATAGTGTGAACCCGGTCTTGTATGTCTCACTAGTCCTCCTATTCCTTCTGTACTGAAATGTATTGTAATTGTACTGTCTCCCTTATATTGTAAAGCGCTGCGCAAACTGTTGGCACTATATAAATACTGTATAATAATAATAATCTCACCTCCCTGATATATCTGCATTTATAACATCAGGGTGATGCTATATTACTCATTAGTATAATAAACCCTACAGTGTCCCCAGCTAACATAAAGGATCTAACCTTCCTAACGGTATAGAATAATAATACACAGATGATAATAATATACACAAATGGCTGTAAAAAAAACATGGTTACAACCATTTTATAGATCTGAACACAGCTGCATTGTTTTAAAAAAAGACATTTACACAGGTGCATAAACTTGCACAGTGTTCAGATCCATAACCAAAAATCTGTATTTCAGGATATGCATATTCAAATATACCAGTAAAAAAAAAACATATTTATGGATCCTTTCTGCAGGAACTTTTGTGGGAGTCTGGACCTGTTTTCATTGTTGCAGTTAACCAATACAGTTCTCCTTTCAACTACCTTTTGGCTGGTGAGTGAAACAGAAGCAGTACACTGAAAAAAAACCTGTTTTGGAAAAATCAATAGGCACTGGGCAATATTAAAGGACAATAAGAGTCTATTAGGACTGTTGCCAAATGTATTTTTACAAAAGCCAACAAAACTGGTTTTGCATATTGCATCCTTGAGAAAGACAAACAATTTCTCTTGAAGTTATAATACATATTTATGATATCTGCAAGGTGCAGTTTATATTGCCTTGTGGATTTACAATCTATGGTGTCTGTTTATGACACAAAGAATAGCTGCGATTCAGAGGATTGCAGCTATTCTCTGGTCATTCACAGTTTATGACACTCAGGAGATCAGCGGAGAACATGTTCAGCCCTTCACTGGAGATCTGTGTTCTCCCTCCAGATTCTCCAGCCCAGAGCTAGAGAATCGGAGGAACTGCAAACTAAGCAGCGATAATTTACCTCTGTTTAGTAAACTGATCTTTTACTGTAATCTCACGAGATTATAGTAAAATCAGCCGTTTTCCAGCATTTGTAGACCGTTCTCCAGCGTTTGTAAACCGTTCTCCCTTCGTTTGGAGAACTGATCTACATATGCTTCATAAACTGCATTCACAAGAGAACTGTGTTCTCCGAGAATGCCGGAGAACTGAGCAGTGATCTATTACCGCTGGTTCATAAACGGACACATATGTCCTTTGAACTAGTAGACTGTTATCAGAACCATTTGTGCATATTTGGATACATTTGTGGCACCTTCATATCCCGATAAAAACAAGTCAGTAATGTAACTACCTTATTATCTGTAGTTTTAAATCAATATTAAACCCAAAAGCAAACATTTATTATATTGCGGCATACCAATTCTGAGATGTGATAGCTGTGTTAGTTTTCTTTTTTAGGCTTTCCTCCATTTTCATCTGGTGATTCAGCCAGCAACTAGACATGTGCATGCCAGAAAATTTCAATTAGTTTTCAGATCCATTTGTTAATTGAAGAATTTGGTTTTGGATACATTCGTAAATGGACCTATTCATTTTTCAGAATGTTGTATCAGATAAGGGTCTGGTATGGATTTTTTTTTTTTTTTTAGGGATGGGGGCACATTTTTTTTTTTATTATTTTGGCAGTGGGTTCCCCTCAAACTTCATACTAGGGCCTGGTATAGACTGGGGGGAACCCCCAAAAATATATTTAAGAGGCACTTCTTTTGTTTAAATTTTGCTGACAGCAGGAAATCCCACTGACAGCAGATGAGTCATGGTTGTTAAGGATGTGACGCTTTCCGGCCGCCCACTCTTTATGAACCGGCTATTCTCAATTATTCAAATGAATACAAACAAATCCAAAATTTGTAAAAATTATTACTTTTTCTGATTCTTCCAGATTCATTACCATGTCCATTTAGAAATTCGGATACATCTGAATCTCCAAAAACAAAATTTTAATCCAAAACATTAATCTAATGAATCGAATCACACAAGCCTAGCAGCAACTACTGTGTTTCAGAAGTTCAAGTTTACCAGCAGAATGTATCAGTCTACATGGATGAGACAGTCCATTTACCACACACATTTTATTTATTCTCTAAAACCTTTATCCCAAAAAGAAAAAACATAGTTTGCTGTATCTGGAGTAAAGTGTTAGCTGGTGTTTGACTTCAATTTGTTATTGTATTCAAATCTGCTAATACATTTACCACTCCCCCCCCCCCCCATGCTGATAATACTGCTGTCTACTAAGTCCTGTTCTCATTTCTCCAAATAGTATCTCACTAGTACATGAAGTATGTTACTGGCCAGATCACCAGGTGAAAACAGAGGGAAAAAGCCAGAGAAAACAAAACAGATGCAGTCATCACATCTAATGATTGGTCAGCTACAATATAATACATTTTTGGTTTTGGGTTTAATACCGCTTTAATTTGGACCAGAGCTGAGAGCTTGAGAATGACTTTATATGCTTTATAAACAAACTAACGTATGAGAAGTTTTACTATAATGCAGAAGTTACCCATAGTTCGGGTGTAACTCAATATTTGGGCGCTGAAGACAAAGTATACTTTTATCTTTGACTTGGTAAGAGCCTCTTTCAAACCATTTTATATTGAAGATCAGACTGGGAGAGGGAAAAGCAGCACAAGGAACCAGTCACTTGTGTTTCGGTGTTCATGTTTTAACAAGGAATATGCTCATGGGAGGAAAGAGTTACATAGAGAATAGCTCACCACTATGCTGCTTCTCCTTAAAGTGTTACTAAATCCACAACAGTAAAATCAGCCTGTACTGTATATGCAGTAAAGCATGCTTGTTATACTAACTGTGGAACCTAAGGGGTTAATCCTCTGCATTGTGTAAAAAGGCCATTGATTCTTTCTTCTCTGCCCCTCCTCTTGTTCAAATGTCCATGCCTTATCTCCTGATAAGACAGACTGGACCCAAGCCACATGCACATGCTCAGTTTAATGTGTATTGCTAGAGAGGTTTTTTTTTTTTTTCTTGGGAAAGTGCATGTGATCGGCACAGGACCAATCAGCACTGGTCAGACAGAGGTCAGGGGTTTTGCATCCTCCTAGAACAGAAAGAAAACACCTCCAACAAGCTTTAACTAGTGCTCTGCTGAAGTCACAAGACTGCTCTAATGGCTGGTGAGAAAAGGTATCTAACAGTTTATATTTACTAAAATAATTGCATTTCCATGTTTGTGTGTACTGTGGGAGACCAGATATAGTGAATGCAGGGTCCTGGGTTTAGTAACACTTTAACTGTCCAGCCACAAGGTAGGAGTGGGTTAGAGACCTGTGCTGCTTAACTGCAGCAGATAAAGAAATCAGGTCTCCTGTCCTAAATCTCAGAACTGGATAGACAGAAATACAATTCCTTTGTCAGGTAATTCAGCTACCTTATACAGTATGTACTTCACCTGTGTATTTAGCTGTTTGCCTGGAGGTCAGCTTTAGGATTAATCTATCATGAACAAAAGCTAAAAGACTGCAGTGTTTTGTTCTAGATATCGTGTTAAATTCCATAGATTATTTTGAGATTTAGCTATTGACAGCTTTAAAGGTTTTGCTGAGTAAGAACTGGATAGACAGAAATACAAATCCTTCGGCGGGTAAATCAGCTTCCTTCTTGTACTTTACCTGTGTATTTAGATGTATGCCTGGAGTTCAGTTTTAAGGGTAATCTATCATGAAACACAGTCCTTATTATGAGAGGTCTTTGCTTCTCTGCAGTCTTTTGTGTTGTCCATGGCAGGCTCCCAGCAGGTGCTCAGCACCCGTCTGTACACTTTGTGCTTTCCATAGCCATGAGTGTATAGGCAAAAATCACATGTGTCACCCCCAGCTACTAGACCAGAGCTATCCATGCAGTACTTTACGAAATAGCTGAAGTTTACTATATTATACCTCTAACCAAGGGCGACTGACAACTCATGGGGCTCCCGGGCAATAGGGGATCATGGGGCCCCTGTGTCCTTGCTCAAGCTCAAAAAATCCTATGAAAAAGGCACCAGGGGCATCTCATGGGGCCCCATACTGACCCCGGGCCCTCGGGCAGTGCCTGAGTTTTCCAAATGGTCAGTCCCCCCCTGCCTCTAACATAAACATCAATCAGAGTGGAGGTCATGTCATGTATTTTTTACATTTAATATTTTTGAGCACTGTTTTTTGTAGCATGTTTCAGTGCAAGTTACTATATTACTGCTAGTAAACAAATACAATTTGCTTTTAGTTACACTATGGCGAACCTCTGGATGCTAAATGTTTTCCACCACCATCCCCAACCTCTTTTGCACCAGGGACTGGTTTTGTGGCAGACAATTTTTCCAGGGACCAGGGGTGGGTGGGTGTGGTGTGTTTGTCGCGCTGGGGCGGTTGGTGACCGGATATTCACGGAGTCGGTCCCAAGCCCCCCTTCACACCACAACCCCCCAGTTACAGCACAGTCCCCCCCCCTTTATATCAGTATTCACAGTTCCCCTTCACATCACAGCCCCTCTTGGCATTATAGTGGCCCTTTACAGTGCAGTTCTGTTTACATCAATGTAACATATGTATAAATTTGCACAGTGTGCTGAAATTTCAAATTTATAAAATGGCTAAATGCACACAAACAGCAGCACTCACCAATATTAGGACACAAAAATGTTAAAAAATGCACACAAAATGTGTTGCATTGTCTCTTTAAAGAAAAAATTTATATTGCCCACTTCCTTAAATTGAAAACACATGGATATGTTGTGCAAACAATAAAATAACACAACATCCCTAACACTCCAAAATAAGTGAAAACATCCAGCATGACAAGAATTGCTTGCATTGTGATGTAAAGGGGTACTGTGATATAAAAGGGACTGCACTGTAAAGGGGCACTGTGATGTAAAGGGGGGCTGTGATGTGAAGGGGCCCTGTAATATAAAAGGGACTGCTCTGTAAAAGGGCACTGTGATGTAAAGGGGGGGCTGTGATGTGAAGGGGCCCTGTAATATAAAAGGGACTGCACTGTAAAAGGGCACTGTGATGTAAAGGGGGGCTGTGATGTGAAGGGGCCCTGTAATATAAAAGGGACTGCACTATAAAGGGGGATTGTGATGTGAAGGGGCCCTGTAATATAAAAGGGACTGCACTGTAAAGGGGCACTGTGATGTGAAGGGGCGCTGTGATGTAAAGGGGCGCTGTGATGTAAAGGGGCGCTGTGATGTAAAGGGCGCTGTGATGTAAAGGGGCGCTGTGATGTAAAGGGGCCCTGTAAATATAAAAGGGACTGCACTGTAAAGGAGCACTGTGATGTAAAGGGGGGCTGTGATGTGAAGGGGACTGCACTGTAAAGGGCAAGTGCTGGGACAAGGTCTATCCTGTGCCCAGGGCAAAGATGCCAAACTGTGACCCCCTCTGTTTATGATGTGAAAGCTTAAGGGATTCTACACCCAGCAGTCCCTCGCTTATCAAAATCACTGCTGCTGTCAGCCTTGTAAAAGGAGGAAAGTGCCCCCATCCCTACAGTAAACCATTGTGCCCGGGGCAGCTGCCCCTTCTGCCCACCCCTTGTCCCAGCCCTGTAAAGGGGCACTGTGATATAAAGGAGACTGCACTGTAAAGGGGCACTGTAATGTTTACAGTGCAGTCCCCTTAATATCAATGTGTTCCTTTACATTAAAGTGCCCCTAGCAATCACAGCACCCCACTCCTCATCACAGTGCCCGTTCAGTCATGCCCCCCCTCCTTTTGCCACCTTTCACTCTGCCGCGTCTGCACAGTCCTAACTTTTGCAGGGCAGAGGCAAGATTCAGCCTACTGTATGTCTCCTCTGCCAACGATGTGATCCTTTCAGCAGAGCAGGGGTCAGGAGGAGCTGAAGATCTGACCTCTTGTTAATATGAGAAGTCTCCAGCTCTCTGTCCAGATCTACAGCTCCTCCTGCCGGCTGCTGCGCTAATAGGATCACATCGTCAGCAGGGTGGGAGCAGAGACATGGGCAAGGCTGCACAGTGGTAGGTGAGCGGAGATCGCAATCTGTGATAGCCCTGTCCGGACCGTGCTTGCCACTCACCTCCTGCTGTGTGGTCCAGTCATCAAAAGGCCATGGACCGCTATCAGTTCATGGCCCAGTGGTGGGGGACCCCTGTGTAAAATTATTAAAACATTCATAAACTATTAAATATAAATTTAAGTATATCTTATTTTCTCATATTATACTTATGCCTCTGGCTTGTGAAAATGTTTAAAGATTTCCTAGGCAAAAATACATATTTATTTTATCACAAAGTCAGACCTTAACAAAATACCCATCTTCATTCGCTTCTCTAACTTAAACTGCTTTGGGCCCTAAAAAGCTTTTGGTCCCCATTGTTGCTGTTGTTTTGCAAAATGATTGTAAACCCTCAACTTGTAAAACAACCCATTTAGTTTAAAACAGAAATGGCATAGCTACAGAACTGACCATGCTGTGCTCTCCTGCCTAGTCTTAATAGAAAAACCTGAGGGACTGGCAAGAACACCAGGGTTTTCACTGGAAAGAAGCAATACAAAGAGAACAGGATACTTTTTCATACAACTACATGGTACAGCATACTTATATAAGGAATATGAAATGTTAGGTTTACATATTCTTTAAAATGTTACTAAACCCACAACAGTAAAATCAGTCTGTATATGCAGTAAAGCATGCTTGTTATACTCACTGTGGAACCTAAGGGGTTAATCCTCTGCATTGTGTAAAAAGGCCATTTGATCCTGTTTTTTCTGCCCCTCCTCTTGTTGAAATGTCCACACCTTATCTCCTGATAAGACAGACTGGACCCGTAGCCATTCTGCACATGCTCAGTTTAGTGCAGGGGTCCTCAAACTTTTTAAACAGGGGGCCAGTTCACTGTCCCTCAGACCGTTGGAGGGCCGGACTATAGTTTAAAAAAAAAACTATGAACAAATGCGGACACAGTACAGGAGATGATCAGAGACTGCGGACATAGTACAGGAGATGACCAGAGACTGCGGACACAGTACAGGAGATGACCAGACACTGCGGATGTAGTACAGGAGATGACCAGAGACTGCGGACACAGTACAGGAGATGACCAGAGACTGCGGACACAGTACAGGAGATGACCAGAGACTGCGGACGTAGTACAGGAGATGACCAGAGACTGCGGACACAGTACAGGAGATGACCAGAGACTGCGGACACAGTACAGGAGATGACCAGAGACTGCGGACACAGTACAGGAGATGACCAGAGACTGCGGACGTAGTAGAGGAGATGTCCAGAGACTGCGGACGTAGTACAGGAGATGACCAGAGACTGCGGACGTAGTACAGGAGATGACCAGAGACTGCGGACACAGTACAGGAGATGACCAGAGACTGCGGCAGTACAGGAGACCAGAGACTGCGGACATAGTACAGGAGATGACCAGAGACTGCGGACATAGTAGAGGAGATGTCCAGAGACTGCGGACATAGTAGAGGAGATGTCCAGAGACTGCGGACATAGTAGAGGAGATGTCCAGAGACTGCGGACATAGTAGAGGAGATGTCCAGAGACTGCGGACATAGTAGAGGAGATGTCCAGAGACTGCGGACATAGTAGAGGAGATGTCCAGAGACTGCGGACATAGTACAGGAGATGACCAGAGACTGCGGACACAGTACAGGAGATGACCAGAGACTGCGGACATACAACGGCAGTGGGAAAACTGGGCCGGCCGCTCCATAAGACGCACAGACATTTCCCCCCCAAGTGTGTCTTATGGAGCGAAATAGTGCCCCATCATTGGTGTCAGTGGGAGGCATTGTGCCCCATCATTGGTGTCAGTGGGAAGAATCGTGCCCCATCATTGGTGTCAGTGGGAGGAATAGTGCCCCATCATTGGTGTCAGTGGAGGAATAGTGCCCCATCATTGGTGTCAGTGGGAAGAATCGTGCCCCATCATTGGTGTCAGTGGGAAGAATCGTGCCCCATCATTGGTGTCAGTGGGAGGAATAGTGCCCCATTATTGGTGTCAGTGGTATCAGTGTGGGGGGAAGGAATAGTGCCCCATCGTTGGTGTCAGTGTGGGGGGGGGGAATAGTGCCCCGTCATTTGTGTCAGTGGGGGAAGGGGATAGTGTCCCAACATTGGTGTCAGTGGGAGGAATAGTGTCCCTTCATTGGTGTCAGTGGGAGGAATAGTGTCCCATCATTGATGTCAGTGGGAAGAATAGTGCCCCAACATTGATGTCAGTGGGTGGAATAGTGTTCCATCGTTGGTGTCAGTGGGGGAAGGAATAGTGTTCCATCATTGGTGTCAGTGGGGGGTGGAATAGTGCCCCATTGTTGGTGTCAGTGGGGGGGGGGGGGGAGGAATAGTGCCCCATCATTGGTGTCAGTGGGGGGGGGAGGAATAGTGCCCCATCATTGGTGTCAGTGGGGGGGAGGAATAGTGCCCCATCATTGGTGTCAGTGGGGGGGAGGAATAGTGCCCCATCATTGGTGTCAGTGGGGGGGGAGGAATAGTGCCCCATTGATGGTGTCAGTGGGGGGGGGAATAGTGCCCCGTCGTTGGTGTCAGTGGGGGGGGGGGGGAATAGTGCCCCGTCGTTGGTGTCAGTGGAGGGGGGGAGGAATAGTGTCCTATCATTGGTATCAGTGGGAAGAATAGTGTCCTATCATTGGTGTCAGTGGGAGGAATAGTGCCCCATCATTGGTATCGTGGGAGGAAGAGTGCCCCATCATTAGTATCAGTGACACCAATGATGGGGCACTATTCCTCCCATTGACACCAATGACACGTAACTTGCTGACCTCTGTTCGAGCATGGTGCTGCTGCAGCCAGCATACCTGGTTGCAGCAGCACCATCAGCACGGCACACTTACCTGTCAGCTGTCCTTCTTCACTCCGGCCTCTCCCTCACTTGATGTTCGCGGGGCCGCTCGGCTCTGCCTCCTCGCAGGTGATTGGTCACCTGTGTGCCTTTCCTGAGCTACAGTTCTGGCGCCCAATCACCGGAGAGAAGGCGGAGCCG